GCAGCTTTCACTCATCTCCTTCCCCTTCTGCAAGGCACCTGCGAGCTGAAGGAAGCACCAAGTTGGATGGTCAGCTGCGTGACCGGACCCGCCAGAGCCCTGCTGCGGGCACGGCGCAGGCAGGACCGGCGGGCAGAGGTCCCCCAGAGCTTGCCTGATGCACACCAACCATCAGGTCAGTGCTAGGGGAGGTAAACGAACCAGGAGCACGTATGGATCAGGCACCCACGAGCTGCACAGCAACTTCTGCCTGAGGACTAATGCTCGTGCCATCACTGTGGACCTAATTAGCAAACGGGAAAGTAAATCTGCATAGTGCGTTGAAGCGAACCCCCAAGTCCACATTTCAGTGAATTCACACATGTTCTTCAGAAGTTGTCTCAGGGAACAGATGCTTTTATTATGCACAGATGTTAAAAATGCTGCAAGCACAGGGTAGGATAGGTCTGTAGCCAAGCAGAAAGAATAGGAAAATGAAAGGGTTTACCACAAGAGACTACAGAGTGAGATGTCTTTTGTAGTTTCCTTTCCAGGTGCAAAGGACAAGATTTATTTAAATCCAGCTGGAGGAGTTTCCCAGTGCCTGCAGCAGCCCTTCTCTGGAGATCTCGTGGTAGAGGTGCAGGCAGGCTGGGGGAGGTCACTGCCGGAGCTCTGCATCCCTCCCTTGAGACCAAAACTGTTGCTCAGGGGGAGAAACCAGTGAGCAGGCAGCCTGGCCCAAGAGCTGGGCTGGCGGCCCCGTCCAGCCTGGGCTCCACTACGGGCACAACAGCCCCTTGCGAATGCGAAGGCGAGTGCTGCCCACGTAATGTGCTATTGCTGTGGGTCTCTTACAACCAAAACATGCCAGCAGGCACACTGCGACTGAACAGGTTTACCCCGTCTAAGCACTACAGGGTAGAGGCAGAAGAGATTCGGAAGAGGATTTTGAGGGAGTCAGGATCTGCTGGAGCTGCTGTCCCCTGGTCGCCATCCCTGCGTGGACTCTGTGCGTGTGCTCCTCCAGGGTCAGCTCTCCCAAAGCTTTATTCTGGATTCGGCTCCATGAGATGAAAAAAATGTTGCAGCATATGAGCTGACAGAGCATAACGTCTGCTTGTCTTCCCAGGGACAGTTGAAGTGAGGGGAGAAGAAGAGAGGAAAAGAGTTGTGGATACACAAGGCAGAAAAAAAAGGAAAAGAGAAAAAAAACATAAGCAGCCGAGATGAAACCAAAAGACAAAATAAACCAAAACAAAATAAACCACAAACCTCACTCCCAGAATTAAGCCAGTCAATCTGCCATTCCTTTCTCACAGCTGACCTATTGCCAGACTGATGCCAATTGCTCGTGTAGGAGTTAGCAAAGTAGTAGGCTCAGTTTTCCTGGAGTTTGCCTTACTGCTCAGCTTCGCGTAATTCCCCTACAGCAGCTGTGCCAGCGGCTACCTCCATGGCAAGGAAAATGGATCTGCATGTTCTCTTCTTGTACGATTTAAGATATTATAAATCCTCAGTCTTTGTAGCTGGTAAGTCTGCTGCCTTCCCACAGGTGAGGCATGTGAAGCCTGCTCCCACTTTTCAGGAAGATTTTTGGTTGCAAGCCACACACAGCTGACAGCTCATGATTTCCACCTCTGTCTTACAGTCATCTCAGCTGAAAATGGAGAGTGAGATTCACTTCTTTCGTGTTGTTTTCTTCATTATTTTCTATTTATTCAACATGGGCAACATTGTCTGTCCTATAATATTTCTTAAAGGCAAGGGAGAAAAAGCATGATGGTGATTCATTCATGCAGAGAGAATTTTATTTGGGAGCCTTCATGTATTTGTTGAGAAAAGGATTAAATTAAAACCAAAAGGTAAAGAATCCAAATTAAGGAAGAAACTCTTTGGAGACTTTCTCCTCCCTCAGAATAAGAAGAATGACTGTCCTTTCGATTTGCTACCTTGCTCTAATGACTCGGGCAGATTTGTGCTAGTGTAAGGGAGCTATTAACTAGCCTTGAAGATTTATTTTCCTCTGGAAGAATCCAGTGCTTGGCCTCATGCCAAAAGGGATGGGATACTACTCTCTCTGGTACTAGGAAAGGGTCCAAATTCACCCTGCCTACCACCAATCATCGAACGCGCAGCGAGGAGAAACTCATAACCTCCCTGGGCAGGGGAAAGAGGGGGACACCTCAAGGAGTGATTCAGCTCCGGCGCCAAAGCCACCTTTCAGAGGCATCTCTCTCATCCCAAGGTTGTTGGGGAAGCTGAGGGCAACCCAGACCTTAACGGCAGAGCCTTCTTAAAGCGCTTTAAGTGGCAGCATTTAGTAGGAGTCGAGGCATCTCAAAAATGCTCAGAGAGAGCTTGGTTGAAGGAGCAGGCTGGGGAGAACACAGTCCTTTTAAAAAAGAGCTTTGTACCTGGTGTAATTCTCACCGCAAACCAACCAGTCCAAAGGCGCAGAGGCTGGGAGGGCAGGCACCACCCTGCCTCAGCTCTCACGTTGCTAGCTCTACAAGCAAGCGTTGGCTATTCCTGCAAAACAGCTTGCACTGCAGAAGGTCGCCTGCCAGCTCGGTATTACAGCAATGACAAATTCTCGTCACTGAGCTGGTCTTGGCTTGTCCTGCTAGAGGGGTGTTTTTACCTCACTGTCCCTGAGCAAGCCCCTTGTCAGCTCGTACTCTCTGTTGTGCCCTCAAAGGTTGGGCATGAGCTGCCAAGGGCAGACGCCGGTGAGCGGTAGGAGAATTCAGAGAAGTGTCCATCTGTGCTGGAAGGCAGTCCTGGTGCTTGGGTGTTTCATCACTTTCCAGAGGGGAAGGAACAAAAATGTCACACATGGTCCCTTGTCCTTGTGCTGTCTGGGAGGAGCACAGGCCAGATGAGCTTGTGACATGACAATGAAGTCCCTCTGGTCCATGTGGGAAACGGAGACGTGCGATCTGGGCAGGAGCCAGCTAGTGCTGCTGGGCCCAGCTCTCTGAGCACACCCTGAAATGGTTTGGATGCTGAGGAAGAACTGGTGCCTGCTGATGAGCAGTGCATAATTACGCAGCCTGGCTCGGCAGGGTGGGTTGTACAGGTGGGAACACTGACTCCTCCAGGCCCTGAGCACCGCTTCTGTGCCCACAGCCTGGCTTCTTCCCACCTCATCCAGGGAGTCCGTGGGGTAGAAATACCCCTCCAACAGGACAAGCCAAGACCAGCTCAGTGACGAGAATTTGTCATTGCTGTAATACCGAGCTGGCAGGCGACCTTCTGCAGTGCAAGCTGTTTTGCAGGAATAGCCAACGCTTGCTTGTAGAGCTAGCAACGTGAGAGCTGAGGCAGGGTGGTGCCTGCCCTCCCAGCCTCTGCGCCTCTGGACTGGTTGGTTTGCGGTGAGAATTACACCAGGTACAAAGCTCTTTTTTAAAAGGACTGTGTTCTCCCCAGCCTGCTCCTTCAACCAAGCTCTCGCTGAGCATTTTTGAGATGCCTCGACTCCTACTAAATGCTGCCACTTAAAGCGCTTTAAGGAGGCTCTGCCGTTAAGGTCTGGGTTGCCCTCAGCTCCCCCAACAACCTTGGGATGAGAGAGATGCCTCTGAAAGGTGGCTTTGGCGCCGGAGCTGAATCACTCCTTGAGGTGTCCCCCTCTTTCCCCTGCCCAGGGAGGTTATGAGTTTCTCCTTGCTGCGTGTTCGATGACTGGTGGTAGGCGGGGTGAATTCGGGCTCTTTCCTAGCATTCACTCAAACCACCAGTGCACTATTAAACATGCTGCTTCAGGAGATAAAACCTAAGGGGTTTGATTTGGCTCGAAAACCAGGTAGTCAGATTCACCCAGGATAAGGCCAGTGGTGGCAATTAAAAAGGGCAAGCCCTTCTTTAGGCATGGTGAGAAAGTGGCCCTGCAGACGTCCTTCATTAGAAGGTGGGAAAGAGAACAAGTGCCTGAGAACACCTGTACAAGACATTTAGGAGACGTAGACAAAAAGCCTAGAATAAATGAATAATTATGACTTAAAAAAAAAATAAATGTGTAACAACTACCAAAAATCCAGCTGCTGTGTGCTGCCCAGCTGTACCAGAGAGACACAGGAGACACTGATGTCCAGGATGAACAGGGGCTCCAGCAGAAGAAGAGAATGACCAGGGGCACTGATCCTCAATCCAGTGTGTTAAGGGGCTTCAGTATGTGGCAAGCGTGTAGACAACTTGTTGTTTCTGCAGCTCTTTCATCGGCAGCCCCCCTGGGTCTAACCCTCCCCCGGCTACATCCCCAAACGTGAAGCTTTTCCCCAGCAACTCCCCAATTATGCAAACACCCGACATCCCCGCTGGATCTGTGCGTTGACAGGTAACGAGGCGGAGAGCAGCACACAAGAGCCATGCCAGCCAGCCCTGCGGGCTTCTCTGCGGCTAACCAGCTCTTAGGGGAGTCTCTCATTCGAGCGAGCAACCCCAGGCTTCCCCTACTGCCCTCCCTGGCTCCCTCCCTTGAGGATTTAGGTTTGTTTCTCATTTTCCAACAAAATGAATGGGCTGGGCAGGCAGCCTCCCCTCTGTCTGCAGCAGTACTGCAGGACACAGGCTGGTAATGGCTGGGGCTGCTGGGACTTTTCTGCTTGTTTGTGCATCCCCAAATTGAGGTGGGACACAAGATACCCAACTACATTAAGGAAAATGGCTAGAAGCTGTCCTCTTCTTGCCAACACTGTAGCCCTTCTACCTCTGAAGGAAAACAAGAGGCAAATGGCAGGTGGGGCTAAAGTCTGGAAGAAGATCATTTTCATGGCAAGGCAGAAGCTGACCTCCCAATTTCAAAGCTTCGGGTAGTGACAGGAATGTGTAGGTCTAGTGATGTTTTGCTTCAGGGGCTCTGAGGGGAAGCTAGGAAGGCTCAAGGGCTGGCTGTGGGGTCAGGTAGGGGTGGGATCCAGCAGTAGGCTGGGCAGGGGGAGACAGGAACATCAGGAGACAGAGAACTGGGTGGGAAGGTGAGACACGGCGAGGCCTCTGCCATCAGCCACCGAAAATACATTGGAACCCACTTTCCATTTATTACACCATGCACACATACTGGAGGAGGCTCCTACTGATTAATCCAAGGCTTAACCATAGAAAAGGCTGGAGATTTCAGCAGCGAACCTATCCTTGTGCTTTTCTAGTGCCAACAGTCACTGTGGCACAGCAACAAAGCAAACGCTCGTCATACCAGCTGCTTTCTCATCAGCCCGCGCAGTGAAACACGGGGGACACCAGGGTCAGCGTTCGGCCAGAGCCCCCAGTGCCACCACGGACTGGTGGCCAGGTCGCCAGCCTAACTCCTCCTGCCGGCCCAGCTCCTGAAGGCAGACTAGTCCAAGAGAGGTTTTCATCCTCTGTCTTCGGCGAGGCATACAGACATGGGATTATTAGCAGATTCCTGCACGGGAGACATAAACATTTTTTCCAAATAGGTTAAATTAAAAAAAAAACAAAAAAAAAAAAGCAAGATGACAGCTTTGGGGTTTTCCAAAGGTAAAGCTGGTGCACTGGATACACCAAGAACCACATATGGGAAAAGGTGGCTTTTTCATTTGTATTAGAATCACAGGAGCTAGCAGATTAAAATGCTACAATAAACAAGGCAAATATATTTTAATAAGTTTGCACTTTGGAACTCTAACAGCTGTTAGGAATATACCACTTTTTGCAGTGAAGAAAAGGCCAGAGAAATGTTTCCAGCAATAAGTTGCTTTATGTGCTTTGGCTGAGTAAAGAAAGGCCTAGTTTGTACCCTGATGTTTAGCAACAGCTCATTTCTAGGGCTCTGACTCACTTGGAGCACAGCAGCCATGTACGCTGTTTACTGAACTGCCACAAAATTGTGTACAGCACTTATGGATAATGTCTGATGTTTTGTAGTATGGCAGGCAGCAAATAGCTGCTGTGATTGATTTATAACTGAAGCGAAGCAGAGGTACACAATGAAGCTCAAAGGCACTGTTGCAAATCTGCTCCAAGAAGGACTTGGGATATTTCTATGAGGGAAGAGAAACCAGCAAATGAACACCTTCTCCTATTCACAGCTACTGGAGGTGCAGCTGGATCAACTTCACCTTTCCCAGAAACATGACATTAGAAAAAGCCTGGGTTGAAGTCATGCATGGAGGCAGGCTTAAATAGCGGGTTGTGCTCTAAGAAGCTGCTGGGGAGAACAAAGTAAGGTGGTAATTAGGGACAGGGCCAGTTCTGAGGATACAATATGCAATATTTTAAGACAGTGAGTAGGAGTGCTCTTGCTGGATAATTCACATTACCTCTGTTGGGAAGGTCAGTAATTCCTGCTCAAGATACCGTGTTACGTTATGACAACACAGCAAAAAACAGTCTTGCAGTGTGTGCCTCAAGAACTGGAGATACGCCAGTCATTTAAAGGTTATTCAATCCAGTAGCCTACCTGTTAATTTCAGGACATCTGCAGCTTGCTGCTCTGTTGCTGGCACTGCAGGAATACTGTGCAGGTAGCAAGGTGTGAAGGCGGTCGCAGCATTTGAGTGCTGCACTCCATGGTAGCGTTTGCCTGGTGTCGGTCTCCCTTCACAGGGGTTTGGTGTGCCCTGCCGTCCTCGCTCAGAGCCACGGCCTTCACCTCAGTGGCCTGGAGCTCCTCCAGCAGCTGCCACGCGAGTCCACTCCCCTCCACTGACACCACGTGGGACACAGTCACTTCATGTAGGAGCACAGTTCTGCTCTCCTTTCCACCCCCACCCCGGGCATCCAGCTTAAAATGAAAGGGGCATCCCTTCCTAAATGGGGCTTGAGGAACCGGGCACCCTGCGAGCCAGCACTGAGATCTATTTTAAAAGAAAACCAAGTGAAAATGATCAACTGCTCATAAATACTGTAGATTCAAAGGGTGGCTCATAGTGACAACATACCGCCTCTCGAAATGGGCCGGCAGGAATTTAGAACACTGACAGTGAAATACAAGCGATGGGTTTGGGGAGCACTTCCTAAAAGACTTCTTTGAGCAAATGACAGCCTTCTTTCAGAACACAACTTCATTTTCAACTAAAACTTTTAATACTTTGGGCTTCTATTAATTATTTTTCAGCCCTTTAAAATTCAGTTTTCATCTTATTTCTTAGCTATTATTCAATATTTTCATCAGCGTTAACTAAACCCAGAGAACATTTGCAGTTTTAGTCTGGATTAAGCCTTTCTTCCTCATTGTTTTAAATGCATGAAAGTCAACTGAGTTTTGTTTGATGTTCTCCATGCCACATTGAATACTGTGCTGGTAGGACTGTAAATAGGCCGCGTTGTTCATGAATTACTAATCCCTGTCACTCACATTTTCTGGGGAACACATACTATATTTAGTCTTTATACTTGGGTAAACAAAGCTGGAGAACTTTGAGGCTATTTTTCTCATTAGGAGTCTTCTGCATATTCCCTAAAAAAATGGCAAGATAATTCAGTCACCAAGTATAAGTGCAATTCATTAACCGTGGTGGAAATCAGATGCTTGAATTGAGAGGCTAATTAAGATAATTAGATCTAAATCCTGAAAGGAAACTATGCCAACATTTCTTAAAATCTCATTTATACTTATGTAAATCTGGACCAACTCCACTGTCATTTTCTGGATTTGTACCCAAGTAACTGAAATCACTATTGAGCTCTTCTAAGCTCTCAATATCAGCAAAAGGCACTGAACTAAAACAATTAACATATAGGCTGTGTTTTCCTCCATAACTTCTAGATTAACTTAATATCACAGTGCTCTTCTTTCCAAAGGAACTTTGACATTCTGATGGATTACTTATTTAAAAAAAATAAAAAGGTCAACATCAATTTAAAGAGCTGCCAACTTCTACAACTTTAGCAAATGAGGAGAGTTGAAACGTTTCAGCATCAACTACTGCCTCTTCCAGGAGAGTCATTATTTTTAATCCATGGCTTTCCTATGGAAGGAACTTTCTCCTCTGCTGTTTCTTGTGACCACCAACTGCACTGAGACCACCATTTAGTAAAAAACATTACATAAATGATGTACATGAGCCAAATAGAAAAGTGGACAAAGTCAGGGGGGGACAAAATTTAATTGTACACAGATATGAATTTTAACAGTGTGCCTTTATGTGCAATTGCCTGCTATGCAATCATCAGGAGGATGAGCCTTGCTGGGCTTATATTTAGTAGGGAGCATTAGGCAGATTTCTGACTGTGTGACATGCTCTACTCCCTCCCACCCCATCTCATCAGCAATACTAGCTGCAGACAGAGCTGTGCCAGTCTGTCTTACAGGGAACTAATGTGATCTGAAAGGCAGCCTGCCCAGACAGCTATGAAACACTGAGCCCTGCAGTCTAACTCTCTCTTACATCCAAAATCTAGATTATTGCACAGCTGTCATGAGAAACAGGGAGAGCTCATGGCTCCCTCTGACCCAGCTGGCCTAAGACAAATCCAGGAGGTGCATACCCTTGCACCTAAAATCTGTAGACAAACAGGGATTAAAACCCCTAGAAATCCAAAACCTGTCCATGACCAAAAATACCATGTTATCTCATACTTTGGAGCTGTTTTTTTCTCTCAGCCTCAGAGAACTGAAGGAACCAGGAGCAAGAAACAGCCTGGAGAAGACCAGATGCTTCAGCAAAAGCTGGTGGTGAACAGTTTACAGAAATATATCAACAATAAAGAAGGAAGGGAACAGGAAGAAGGGTACCAGAATATAACAGGACTACTAGTTCAGCCCAAGGGGCTCTCCAGTCCTTTACCTGTTGGCTGACACCTCCCGAGGGAATGCCTGCAAAGCCTCCTTCATTAGCATTTGGTGACATTTCAAGCAGACCAACAACATGAGGAGCATGCACAACCTTTACCTGATCTCACATGTTGTGATGTGATGTCTGGGGTGGGAAGAAGGGCCTCCAGGGAAAGAGAAAAGAAAGAGGCTTCCTTTCACCTGGGGTAAAAAAGAGGTAGAGGGGAGCTAGGTTCATTTGGTATAAATGTGCCTAAACCACTTTTGCATAAGGCACTGAAGTGCATCCAGGATACCTGAAGCAGACATGGCACCTTAGGTCAACGTCTGTTCTCGTTACTAATACAAAGCACCACTTCTTTTTTAAAAATTCTCTTATTTGGAAGGTTTTCTAGACCTGCGTGCAGCAGTCAGAGAGAGACTGCCAACCTCGGCACGGGAGGCTGCCGCATCACGGGGAGCGCTGGTAGCTCGCCTCTGGAAGGCGGCCAGCTCTGGCTCCTGCAGTTCTGGCAGCTCAGCGGGAACTGGGAGTCACTGCCTTGCAGACAGCAGATACCCTTGGCTCGCTAAACAAGCACAGTGCTCTCAATGAAACTGGAGACAAATGCAAATAAGCCCCCTCAGTCCAATCCCTGACTTCTATTCCCACTTCACATCACTTACAGTCTGAATTAAAATTTGTGGTGTCAATGTGAGCATTTCATCAGCTCTGCCAAGTTCACGACCAGCCCTTCCCAACCGTCTCCTGCCTCATAAACCTGAACCCTTTAAATCTCCGTTCTGTGGGAACCCATGTTCTGTGGAGAACCTTGAATTTAGAAAATAAGTTAACAATATTTAAAAACCAAAAGAGGTCTCTGTTTCACCAAATGTGCGGGGGAATTCAAACTCCAGGACTGTACACTCTGTACCTTTTCCATTTGTACTCTGGAATTTGATTTTTATGTATTAGGACAAATCACTGCAAGTGACTTCTTTCAGCAAGCAGTAAGGCAAAGGCAGCTTTCCAGCTATGCACAACACAGGGCATGAGACCAGTCTGTCCCTCCTGGGCACAGCAAAACCAAAAAAAAAAGCTTCCCCTTCTTCCCAGTTCCATCAATGCTCTGACATTTAATGTCACCCACACACTGGTGTGGTTGTGGTTCTCCAGTCAGTCTCCTTTGAAGCAGCAGTCACATTTGAACCAAAATCTGCTACTTGTTTTATGAGCAACAATATACATCAACCTTTTTTTTTAACAGAAAATTGGGGTTTCAGTTGCTAATGGCACATGATTCAGTTCTCTCTGACTTTCCCATATAATCTTCAGGATAATTAGTCAGCTTTTTAATACAATTGTACCTTTCTGTCTTCTTCCATGCTGCTAGGATGCTCTGTCAAGGTACCTGTGGAAATTAAAGTTCAAAGTCAGAGCATAACAACCTGACTACAGCTGACATATCCAAGTCTGTGAATAAACATCTAATACTCTACACATTCAGAGTATGAGAATTGCTATAGAAATAGCATCCTCTGAATTAGGTATTGTACAGCTGTTTCCCAAGCAACCCAAATCATCTCTTATACCCAAAAGAAAAAAAGGAAAAGGTTGCTTTTGGCCCAGTGGGACAAAATCTGAGCAAAATTGCTTCTTCCTCCTGTGTATATTAGGGTTGATGCACTGAAATTGAAAGACTGTGGATTAGGATCCCAGATAAGTATCTTATTTTGACCTAAAGGTTTGGGTTGCACCTCTTATTAGTAGAAACTCAAAGCTTCTAGTCTTTTATAATAATGTAGTCTCCAATATCTAAGGAGAAAGAAGCAAAATTCCATAGATAAATGAGAAATAGGTAGGTGTTGGACTCATTATTTTAATATTAGCAATAAGCCTTCCAACATGTAGACTATTTCATAAAGATTGTTAAAGTTTATCAGTCAAAGGAGAATTGCAAGACATTTTTACCTGTGCTGGTGATTAACAGAAGCACATCTTAGAATTGCATGACGTGCTTAACCCACTATATGGTCTCTGTCTCCGTATCTTTTAGTCTAACATAATCATGCAGTGTTACACAGACAGTCCACTGCACACTTAGCACTCTCTCCTAGCAAACCAAATGACACATTAGATAACAATTTGGCGTGTGTTGTTCCCTCAAATATTAGACCTGGACTTGAATTAAGGAACTAATAAATCAAAAATATGGCTGCATGGGAAAAAAAGAGAGCTTCCCATGCAGTGGTTTTCTATACGCCTTTCCTCCATTGCTTTTAGGAGACGGAGACAGTGCCAGGCTGTATGACATAGTCGGTCAGCTATGGAGAAGGTCATACAATTGTACTGGACACCATTATACCACACACACGCCACGCTGGAGCTCTGGAGAGGAAATCCAGTTGCACGGCCACAAAGATGCCGTGCAGTGCCCTTGAGACCAGTCTTTCACTGATCAGCTCTCCAAAAGTGACGTTATTCTTTACTTGGCCATCAGCGAACACTGGCATCTTTTGATGGCAGGCACGAAGGTGTAGATCAAAAGGCAACGAGGCGCTGAACCTGCTCCTTGTCGTGTCTCTCTGGGCGGCGATGGGCCCGTGGCTCGCACTGCCGGCAAATTGTTGTGCTCTGCCAGCAGCTGCCAGGCCGGGCACCGGGACCTCCTCGACCTTTGCAAGGGACTTTGGGCTGAGCCCGGTGCCGCTGGGGTGCGGTGGGCACGGGCTGAGCGGCTCAGGGCTGCCCAGGAGCTGGGCGCGGAAAGCAGAAGGCTGGTAGTCAAATGGTCCCTTCAGCTGAGACGGAAACCCACAGAGCACGCCCAGGGGCAGAAACTTAAGCTCCCAGACACGCCTTCTGACAAAATCCCACGCGCCTCACGCAGATGTGGAGGCCGAGGCCGAATCCTCCGAGCCTGCTGACTTTTCTAACGCCTCGACCCAGCTCTGTGCCACCTGCGCCGGCCTCAGCGCGAGCACCTGAGCGCGGCGCGGTGCGCGGGGACGGCCATGGCCCTGCTGACGGCCTGGGCACGGCTGCACCTGCCCACCACGCTAGGTAAACTAAAAAAAGTTAGTTGCCAGTAACGTAGGCAATACCTTCTGCCTCTATTTCTTCCTAGGAGCCTGAGGATTTTTTTGGACCCCGGTGCTTGGGGGCCAGGGGCACCCGGGGCTTCTCTTCGCACCTTTTGGAAGTCACCGCTGCCTGTCCTGGCTGGGCTGTGCCAGATATTCCGGTTACCCCTTGCTCCAAGTTGCTTGGAATTCAAGTCATGTGCAATGGATCAAGGAAATGCATGAGCAAATACGGGGCTGCATCAAGGGAGAGTGACGGCCTTCTTAAAACTGTTGCATTTTAAACATTTCACTGCACTGCATGCAGACATCCTCCATATGCCAGGGAGTTTTCCTTGTATCAGAAGGGAAAGGAGCACAGGAACGGTTGTCTGCTTCCTCATTAACATCTCAGTTTTCCTACAGCAGTCATGAGTAAAAGAATAAAATACACAGTATCTGCAATCCTGGTAGAAAGAGTTTTCCACACTTTATAAAAAGTTAATTAAGAGACTGAGAGGATGTCCAATACATTGTACTTATATTTTTAACACACAATGATTGCATCTGTGTCCATCTTTGGATTCCCAGAGATTTAAAGCACAGCCTGAAACCTTTATTAATATGAAGAAGCCCACCTCTATCTCATGATGAAAAATTAATCACATGAGCATTAAGTGACTTACTCCAGGCTTTGCAGTAAATCAGTGCCAGCGATGGTAAAACCCTGAGGTCTTAACCACTGCCTCCTCCTCTAGCTGATGTCTTTACCCCATGATATTTAACAGCTATCCCTACAGAAGATCAACTGTTGGTTAGTTATTTTTACAAGAAATGTAGGTTGCTGTATTACCGTTGCGCTGACTAATTATACCAATAGCAGCAAACTAATTATATGGTGATACTGTCCAACTGTAAAACTATCCTGGAAATTTCTGCTAAACGAAAACCATTTTAGGAGAATCCAGTTATCACCAACTCTAAGATATTAATCCTGTGCTGTCTATTATTGTGAAAATTTTGAAAAGTCCTCAGCACTTGCCTTCTTTAAATTGAATATTCCTATCTGCTATTCTCTATTGAATCATTCAACGACTCTTATATGAAAATAATTTTTGAGCAGGGTGATTAAAATATATGTGAACAGATAAGTAGTAAGTCAAGAGAAATTCTGGCATCTAAGATTTTAACAAAACACGACAACTCTCAATGCTGAGGGAAAAATATGGATAAATAATGGCCAATGTCACATGGCACATCAAAACAGTGCAAGGGAGGAAAATTAGTGAGGGAAAATACATGTCTCATTATGGAAACTAAAGACGGATAAACACACAGATTTCTTCCTACAGATGTGGGTGTTTTTATGAGTAGAACAAATTTATTCCAAGCTCAAAACTGGAGCATTTAGAAAGCTCATGATGAAAAGTGCAATAACAGGAGCTGTAGAGGCAGCATTTCAAGGCAGTAGCATTTATTCTCCATTCTGACGTGAACACCCACTCATTCTGACAACAGGAATCCAGAGGGAATAATGATGAGAAATTTATTTCTCTGCGTTTCGATATAGATTCAGACTTTGTTATAAACCTGAGCAGTGCAAAATGTAAAAGCAAAGTTGTTAAAAAGATGTAGAATTTATGAGATACCAAACACAGTTTGCAGTTGCTGCTGGTTTGGGACCAAAACCTAACCTCAGGTATACATTGTTATAAAACTCCAGAAAATAAAATTCACTGGTTTTCCCCAATGGTTCACAGTAATAGATTTCCAAGATATGCAGAGATGTTTGCCATATTTTCATTATAATTTGATCTCTGCAGTTAAAATGTTACAGCCAAAGTCAGGCAGTTACTTAATCAATAAGAAGTTTTTATTAATCATATTTACAAAGCCCTGGAGACACCAGACAATGAATGGTTAAAACTCAAATATGTTAAATACAATAGCAAGAGAATGATCTACGATCTTGTTCATGCCTTTGATTTTAACCATCTTTTTTTTTTCTTTTTCAGAGGGAAAAACAGTAACAACTATTAATTAGGAATAAACTGGTATCTATCATCATCTGCTTCAATGTACTAGGTAATTAATTTTACTGGTCTGATACCCTGTAAATTCACTATATTCTGTTTACAATCACTTGAATACGTTTGGATCA